CTACCCCTAGCCCGCGGGACAACTTTCTGCATGCGTCAGTGCTCTCTGCAGAAAAAAAAAAAAAAAAACTGAGCCGAAACCGGCTGGAAAGACCGATCGTTGCACAGAGTGAGCGTGTGACGAAAGAATGGGGAATCAACCCTTAGAACTACAGCTGTTAAAAGGAGCTGCAAGAGCAACCAAAGGGCAAACCGATTTTAGTGTGCTGGTCTCAAGGACCCACTGCAAGAATGTGCTGTGTTCTGCTGGCTTGTGGGGAGAAGTCTCAAAGTCAAAAAGGTTAGAGGGCAAACCAAAGTGCACCCAAGTATAATTCTGAGTGAATCACAATAATTCACCCAACAATAAGTGCTCCCTAAAAGGAACCATCGGCAGGTGTGAGGTCGCAAGCCCCTGAGGTCTTTGTACTTTGCCTATTGCATTTCTCACTTTACCTTTAGCTGGTTTGGCTTGGTGGCTTCAAGATTTGATCCCTTATTGTTGACAAATAAGAAGGTACCTCCAAGTTCCGAACCACCAAACCAAGCCAAACCAAACCACCCAACTATATATATGGGGAGACAATTAGACCGTCAGGAATGTATGCACAATATTGTAGATAGACTCACGTGCGCGTATGAATACATAGCCAACATTAAATGTGGAGTGCGTCTAGTAAGACATGCCGCTTCAGTCAGCAAACGTGAAACTTTTCAGGACTCCGTCCAGTGCCTGTTTGCGCGTCTGCTGTGACAAGCTCCTGGCGGCACTCTCTTGCCGAAGGGGCCAAAAACGCCTCCGGTCTGCGTCAAAGGTGGGCTTGTGCAAGAGAGGTTTGTCCTTTCGCAACCTGTGGGACAAGTTTGGCACACCTCCAAGAGGAATCCGGAATCACTTCTAGGAATCCGGAACCCCTCCCTGTTGCTTGAATCTAGAAAGAGAACATGTATGGGAGTGTGGAAGTATCGCATAGAGCCTCACTTTACATTGGCACAAAAGGCTATGTTTAAATAAGGCAGGGAGATCTGAATGGGGTCCCCAAAAGTGCCTTGGCAGGAGGGCGCCTATCCGTTGAGACCTCCAGGACAAACAATCAAATAATCCTCGATTGAAGGTTTGGATGGGTGGTTTATGAATTTGAATCCTGGCTCTTGTGAAGGAGAAATGGGAGGCTACCTACTAACCTCCAAACCAACAAACCAAACCAACGAGTACAGGGAAGCTGAGACAACAGCCCAGCGATGCTCACTCCTCCAAACTCAAGGCGCCTCCGGGAAACTCCCTTGTCCCTGCCAAAATCAGGAATGGGCACGGCTAGGATTTCCTACAACACACATGCTTCTTCCATTCTTTCCTTCTGGTTCAGAGTTTAGATTTCCCCGGGATTTTGGTCTGATCTTTCCTGTAGCTTCCTTTTGGAAGGTCAAACATAGGACGCCTTTTTGATGTCCGCCTTTGAAGGGGGCCAGAAAGGGATACATGGGTTTGACAATCCTCCGGGAGGGGGGGGGGGCTTTTTGTTGAAATTAAACCAGTGAGTTGAATCTTCAAAGGGTTGCAGTTAACACATTTCGCAAGCGACGATGCACCACGTGGAAATGAGGTGGATCCGTACAGATAAGCAACCCTTATTTTGAAAGCCCCCGATCCGGGGGTTTCACCCCTGAGCAAGCCCAACCCTTAACCCTTGTGAGGCACCTACCAGGGAGCCCACAAGTTTGCGGATATAATTGGCATATCAGTGGTCACACTAGATTCCCTCGACGTTGCAAGTGAACCAACCACAAATCATGGTGCATGGCTTGTTTCCTGTTTGCTGCATACGGCTCCGTCCAACCGTACAAAAACCCGCTTGTTGAATGGCGTTGAAGAAAATCAAACATAACTCCCTACATGTATTTTGCAATTCCCCACATTTTACGGCGTCAACCGACCTCTTCTGGTAGCCCAAACTTCCGGTGCGTGAACAGCGTGAAAACACAATTACTAGCGACCTCCAGAAAATTTGGCTGACATGGAAAACTACCACCTAGCCAACCGAGCGATCGACCAACCGACCAACCGAGCGAGCGAGCGAGCAATCCACAATCAAGCAATCAAACAAACAAACAAACATTCTCATCCTCTAGCGAATCTCGCGTCCTTGGGGAGCCATTGCCGCTCGAAGCTGATGGTCCCGTCTTGCACCAACAAGCGCCTCAGACAAATCTAGAGAGGATGTCATGAAAGATCATGTGTCTTACTAAGTATGTTGACCGTCCACAGCACGCCATGAAAAACACGGAACTGCCCCCTAGATGTTGGTTGGGACCACCAAAAAACATGATTCTAACAGATCTTGCTGGCAACGGACTTGGGAAGACCACCTCACGGGCACCACGGGATGAAATCCAAGCCCTTCATCGGGAGAGGCTAACCCCTGTACTCCGCCACTGTTTCAATTCGAGAGATACCTGCGGCTCCCGGGTTGTTTTGGTCTTTCCCAAAATTCAGAACCCCCGTGAGGAAGTCCTCCCATGTTGGCCGGCAAACACCAACAGCAAACAGGCTTGTCCACGTCCATGACCTTGACGTGTTGGGCCACCTTTCCCAGTCCAAAAAGAGGAATCTTTCATCTTGACAAGCAACAGCTCTCTCCTTCAGACCCATTTGAAAGTGTGCCTTTTGAGGGTACTCTTCCGGGTTGGTTTCAAGGGTGAGGAATCACCATAGACACGGAGACACACACCGATTTTAGAGAGAAGGTCAAGCCCCCGCACATCTTTGCAGCAGCCTGGGGCGGCCACGTGCCATCCTCCGCCTCGATCCGCACCCCGCCGCCTGTTCGACTGGTGTCCCTCCGGCCAACAGGGTCCCACGTTGGGAAACTTCCATGGCTAAACAGGCTAAACGTGGTTGCTGAAGGTCTGGTTCCAATGAACATCTCTACAAGGAAACCAAATTACTCGGGCGATTGGCACCCACCCCAACGCAAAGAACTGCATCCAATCATCCATTTAACCGCTCTTTACGCCCTCTTGACTTTCACCGGACAATGCATAACAGGACAACACGGATCGGCAAGTTCTGGGAAGGGGCACGCGCGTGAGCGCGCCAAACCTGATGACCCCTGGCAGGTCATGGTCATAGAAATATGAACAATGTGGGGCTTAAGCATGATTCGACAATATTGTTTCAGTGACTGGCAAGATACAAGTAGTTTGGGAAACATGGAGGCTTGACATTGTGGACGTGGAACCTGATGTTCCACAACCAATCATATGCATGGGATTTATAGCCTGCGCTCAACTTCCTTTCAACCAAGTCAGTTGAAACGGATGTCTCAAACGAGGGCTTTTTTGCAATCCCAGTATTGTAACACCTGTTCATAGGATGGGTGAAGGGGGCTGCCGTGATACATGTCCTTTCAGGTGAAAATAGATGCTGCTGGTGAGATCCATGTATTTCCCACCGAACTGAGAGAACACCGTCTGTCAAATAATCTCGCCTGAGAAGCCTCAAATCTTGTCCCTGGCTTTTTTGCATCGACGCTGCGCCTGGGGTTTGATGGATGCTGGCCACGCGATAGAAGTGGAACCTGAGGCCGCACAAAGCCGGACTATCGCCGTGCTGGATGGGAAGATTTGATGCCAGAAAAACAAGGAATAAAAGGAAACCACCAAAGAACAGCATGGGATTCTAAAAACATGGCAAAACAAACGGAGCCAGCAATCTGAAAGGGTTGGATTGCAGGTGGACCTCTAGGAAATTGAGTTTTTGCTGGCAAACTCCGAGCTTCTTGGAGATTATTTCATGAGTTTTGAAGCTACCGGAATAATCAAGCAACAGGTCTCCGAGAAGGAACACTACACGGCCTGAGGCCGTGCGAAACCGTATTCAACCAGCACAGGAAAATCAACGACAACAAAGCACAAACCCTAGAAGTGAGCAAACCAAATCCCTTTGTCAGGTCGCTTTAGTTTGCCCCAAGTCATAGAGGGATGAGCAATAGACCTGTTCAGCTCGGCTGCGTCTCAGAGCAATTTGTTGCACCCTTGGGCTTTGTGATTGTCTCAGGGAGCTGCTCCCCGTCTCGTGGCCGCGGCGCTTCGCTTCAGTCAGATGGGAACGCAGAGAAGAATAAGGGCGCTGCGCTGCCTAGAGCTTGTTTCACCCGGTTACACGTGAACAAAGGCAACCAAATAAATGCACAGGTGCAAACATATTGTACGCATTCCTTTTTTGCCCGCAAAGGAGAAGGAAGGTCAAATGGGGGAATCTTGAGGTATTTCCCAGGGAGGTACCCCCATGTCTCCACACACTTCGCGGTTCCCTGGCAAGGTGCTTATGCGATATTGGATTACCTGCCCCTCAACCACGAGGGATCCTTTCGAGGCCATCTATTCAAATCTCTCCTCCCTGACCAGCAAATTTCCCCAAAGGAAGCCACAAGGAGATGCACCACCTGTGGCTGGTGGTTGGAGACTCGAGGCCCTCTGGACCTCAGTGCCTGAACGCCCCTCCTGTGACCTGAACGGACACTCCTTCCCCCCACAACCTCGCCAACCAAACCTTAGATGCACAGTAACATTCCGGGTGCCTAATGAGGGGGTTGGACAACCCAAAAAAACACATCCCTTTTTGGCTTTCTTTGGGAACAATAAGAGTTGTGTGCTACGGATCTTGCCCATTGTCCATCACCCGACCCACCACAATTCCAACTCGATGCAAGCTTCGTTCAAATCGAGTGACCACAGAACCTTCGCACAGGTCTGGTTGCAAGATCAAAAACCAGATATGTGATGCTCAACGGCAGTGATCAACCTCAACCCCGCACCATGCCAACGGCCGCCCTGATTATTTTGCTGCGCGCATCTTCTCTGGCTTAAAGCATTCTACATCTAAAACATCCTCTGCAGCTTCCCACAGAGGGCGCAGCAGGCGAAAGCAATGAGGCACTGACTGCGTTGCTCCTCTGCACATTCAGCAGCACGTGTATCTCAAACGCATACACATATGCATTCACATGTAGTATACACACACACACTGCTATTTTATTCCTACATTCATATGCATTCATAGTATGCTTATGCACCTACCGAGACATGGGCCCAAATCATGTCAACGGCAGAAGCTGTTGCTAACCAAACACGAATTGCTTACTCGCGCTTCACCGGCCGCTGCAGGCTCTTGTCATCCGCCCGGAACTGCATCATGGTGTTGAATCTCGGGTGTGTGCGAGAAGGTTGCTCCGAATATCTCGTGAGCTTCAAGTTGTGGGAGGCCAAAACGGCCAAATCATTGGCTGGTTCCTTGAAAGGGACCCATAGATGTCCCCTTTCATTTGGTTTTTTGGGTTTTCCGCCCGCGGCAGGAGGCAAACCAATGCCGAGGCGCTTCACGATGTACTGCTTGTCCTTGAAGGTCATGGTGTACTGCTTGAAGCCCTTGGAGTAAGCGTCCTGGCCCGGCAGGTAACCAAGGAATCGGAACCAAGGAAAATGGTCGTCTTCATGTAGCACCAGAGCTTTAGTTAAAGCAATGTTGTTCCGCTTACCAAAATACAGGTCGCTGTCGTCCCACAAGAGGCGACGACCACTTTAGCTGACGTTTCTTGGATTGACCGCTTTAGCTTGCGGACTATCGCTGGCGACGCTGGGGGTGACCACTTTAGACTGCTGGTGATGCTGGGGTTGACCACTTTCGCTTGCGGACTATCGCTGGTGATGCTTGGGTCGACCACTTTAGCTTGCGGACTATCGTGACATCTACTTTTTGTATGCGGAGAGCATTTCCTTTACTAAAAACTGGGGTTGCTGTGTCGACTACTTCTGTCAACAAAGGCCGTCCAACGTAGACCGAGTCACGTCAAGCTTGAGTGTCATTCTTTCCCTCAGTGTCGACCACGTTTTTGTCTACAAACAAGAGCGACGTGTGCTTGTTGCCGGCGGAAAAGCATTTTCTTTGCTACAGCGCTGGTGATGCTGAGGGCGTCGACCACTTCAGCTACACTATCACGACATCTACTTGTAGTAAATGGAAAAAGCATTTCCTATGTTAAAGCACTGGTGATGCTGAGGATGTCGAGAACTTTCTGTTGGTAAGCGAAAAGCATTTCCTTCACTAAACACTGCTGATGCTGGGGGTGTGGAGCACTATGCTGGTGATGCTTGGGTTGAACACTTTAGCTTGCGGGCTATTGCTGGTGATGCTGAGGTCGACGACTTTAGCTTGCGGACTGTCGCGACAATATCTATTGTTAGTAAGGGTGGTGGGGGTGTCGACCACTTCACTTAACAAAGAACGTCCGAAGCACACCAAGTCACGTCGAGCTCGAAATGTACACTTGTCCTTTTCCTCATGCGCTGTACAAGGAACTTTGATGCCTCCCAGCGCCTCTCCAAAGTCGAGTATTGAAACCGCGACATCTACTCTTTGCTGGCAAGAAAAGCGTTTCCTTCACCAAAACACTGGGTGTCGACCACTTCTGCTTGCGGACTATTCACATCTACTTTTAGCGTGCGCAAAAGCATTTTCTTTACTTAAGCACGGGTGAGGCTGTGAGTGTCGACCACTTGAAGACAGCGACATCTTCTTTTAGTAAGCCAAAAAGCGTATGCTAAAGTGGGCGACCCACAGCATCACTTGTGCTTTAAGAGAGGAATGTTTTTTCCCTTGTTTAAGGCAAATGTCGAGATAGTCTGCAAGCTAACGTGTTCAACACCCCAGCATCACTAGTGCTTTGGTAAAGGAGGTGTTTCTCCACTAACTAAAACAAATTGCTCGACACCCTCAGAATCACCAGTGCCTAATGAAGGAAGCACTTGTCCGCTCACGAAAAGTAGATGTCACGAAATGTGCCTGTTTGCGGCTGTCGCTATTGCAGTCTCTGTCCATGCCAGTTAAAACTCTCATCATGTGCCTCATCTCTTCCTTTCCATGTCTACCTTCCTTTTCAATCGGAACTTGAGTCGACCCAGTAGATCAACCCGGCTCTTCCGGGTTCCATTTGACAAGTTTGCTGCGTAAAGAACTTTGAGGCCGCCGAGCGTTTTTCAACAGTCGATTTGGGAAACCGCGACATCTATTTTTAGTCGGCACAAAAGCAGCTCCTTTCCTGAAATGGGGTGTCGGCCACTTCAGCTTGCGGACCATCGCGACATCGACTTTTAGGAGGCTGAAATGCATTTCCTTTGTGACGCTGGGGTTGACGCTGGGGTTGTCGACGACTTTTGCTTGCGCACTATCCACATCTACTTTAAAAGCATTTCTTTTACTTGAGCACTGGTAATGCTGTGGGTGTCGACCACTTTACCTAGTCTAGTGGGACGACAAACATCTACTTGTTGTATACGGAAAGCGTTTCCTTTCAAGCACTGCTCATGCTTGGGGTGTTGACCGCTTTAGCTGAGCGCTGAAAGAAGAAGGAAGATGACGCGGAGTGCCCATGCAGGACTGCACTAACAAAGGTTCCCAAACTGTTTGGGAACCTTTGTTAGTGCAGTCCTGCATGGGCACTCCGCGTCATCTTCCTTCTTCTTTCAGCGCTCAGCTAAAGCGGTCAACACCCCAAGCATGAGCAGTGCTTGAAAGGAAACGCTTTCCGTATACAACAAGTAGATGTTTGTCGTCCCACTAGACTAGGTAAAGTGGTCGACATACACAATATATAGCTTCTTTCCATTGATTCCAAGGTAAGGGAGCACGAAGTCAGGGCTGCCTTGTGACACGCACGAAATTTGAACATACGGACAATCAAAGGTGTTTCGCACTACTTGGGAGGACTTTTTCCCGACCCACAGATCGGTTCAACATCTAGAATTGATACTGGTATCGGGGTGCGATTCACCTGGCCCACGTGCAAGGAAACAAGCAAAAGAGGATGAACAAATCAGCTCGCAACCATGTATTCTTTCAGGGAGACCCACTGCACTGAGAAAACCGTTTCATCAAGCAGCGAACACTTCATTTTATTTCGGAAGCTTAACAGGGCTTCCTTTTCAGAACCAAATGGAGTCCAGCCAAAAAGGAACCTGGTCATGGCTGTCGTGTGAAGCCATCCTAGCTTTGACACACGTGTGCAGTGTCCCGAGATGCGAAACCAATAGGGCGATACCTTTAGTTTTCGAAATATGGCATTAAAAAAAGGAAGAAACAAAAGAAGGAAACAAAAGAACAAAACAATCATGATTTCCTGGCCCCTACTTGCACACTTAGGTGCTTCCAGCAACATGGAACTGTGGTTTGCCTCAACTGATTTCAAAATGGTCGGGCGGGTCCCTATTGAATAGCACCCAGTCACGGAAAATCAACCGTGCGGTGGCAAAAATTGAGTTTTGCCTGTTGAACCCCCCTATTCAATTAGCATTAAGGGAGGCGGTTAGCTGTTCAGGAGAGCACAATGGTGTGTATCGAAAGAAGACCAGCCCCAGAATGGTCAGGCTCGTTTTGGTGTCCAATTAAACCAACCCGGGAAAGAGGTGCCAACTCAAAGAACCACACCCACAGGGGCGACCTTCATCTCTCTTTGGAAGGCATAGGTATACTCTGGCGGAGAACCGGAGAGTCCTCCAGCTGCTTGTTCATCTTGGGCGTGTACTTGGTCCAGGCAGCCTCATCATCTGCACCCGCCTTGATCTTCCGCAAATCGCTCATGAAGTACCACTTGCCCTTTCCAGCAACCGTCTCCTCATCGGAACAGGGAGCGGATACAAATATATTGTTTTCAAGTTTGACACATTGGATTAGATCTGGGAACTACACGCTTATATACGTATGTAATAAACATGCGAATGATGCGAATAGTGCTTTTACTAAAACTAGTATTACTATATAATAACAATCGAAAGGGTCGAGATTCAATTATGTTTGTAATCTTGCTTTGGTAGTTCTTGTTCTAACAATTTTAGACCAGCACTGTCAACATCATCAGCATCGTTTTAACATCCCCAGCATCATTTTCAACATCCTCAGGTAGGTTTAGTAGGGTGGGTTTGGGGTGGGGGTCGGGTTGGTTTGGGGTTGGGTCGACTGGTTTCGGGTATTTATTGGTGGGCGTAGGCTTGGTTGGTTTGGCTGCGCTTCAGGGTAGGTTGTGTGGTTTAGTGATGGTTTAGGTTGAGTTTTGGGTTGCTATAGGGTTTGATTGGTAGGGTTGTTTTGGGGTGGGGAGTAGGCTATGGTTGGGCTTAGGGTTTGCTAAGGGCTTATTTAGGGTCAGTTTAAGGGCTGGCTTAGGGTTGGTTGAGGGTGGGAATGTAGAAAGCCAAAGCCACAGGAGCCGCAGAAAACCCACCAAAAGCCACAAAAGCCAGACAAGCCACTCATCCAAAAACAAAACAACTTCTGAGGGGGAAAAAAAAAAAAAACATCCTGAAAAAGATGGTCCTCCACAATAATGTATCGACGTGAACGAACACATGGACGCAAAAAAGAACCGCCATAGGTCAAGTTGTAAACCCTATGTGATGATTAGATACTATCGAAACTGTGATGGTCTTGTCCGAGCGATTTGCACACCCCAACTCACACTCACACCTGCCATGGTGGTGGAAAACGGGTGCCAACCTTCAGCAACCTCAGTCCAAGTCCGCTTGCACCTCAACCCAAAGCAGCTCTCAATCGATCCTTGAACGCCGTCCAAATAAGGAGAGCCTCACAATGGGTATTTTTCCCTTTGACAAAACCAGTAGGTTGGGATTTCTGACCACCGACCATCCTGGACGGAGCATTTGAGCCACGATCAATATTAATAACATCCTCAAAAGCCTGGCTTTGGACTGGTGAGCAACCTGCATTTTGTATGGGTGCGGATTTATTTTTGGATTTTTTTTCGTTTTTTTTTGGGATTTTTTTTCGTTTTTCGTCCGGGCCAGCAAAATGTCGTATTTTACAGCATTTTCTCGCGAAATTGACGCATTTTACACTAGCTCGTCAACATCCCCAGCATCGTTTTCAACATCCCCCGCATGTCCGACCAACATCCCTAGCATCACCAACAAATCGTGGGTAACAAAATCCAAAAATGTAGCTGGCGGGTTGACGGGGTCAAAACAATAACGCTTCAAACAGGAGGGCATTTCAATCCCAGCAAAAAAAAATACCAAAAAACAATTAAGAAAAACAGAGCGGGGTAGTGATGATTCGAACAGGGGTGCAATTAAATCTCTGCAAAAAGTCTAAAAAGTAGCGGGGGGGTTGGGGGGGGCGGCAGCCCCCCCCCATGATGTTCGAAGAATTGATGATTCAACTAGGGGTGCAATTAATTAAATCTCTGTAGAAAATCTAAAACGTAGCGGGGGGGTTGGGGGGGGGCGGCAGCCCCCCCATGAGGTCGGAAGAAGTGGTGATTCAAGTAGGGGTGCAATGATTCAAGAAAGGGTGTGATAGAATTTAACAGGCAGCGGGAGGGTTGGCGGGGGTGGCTTCCCCTATGATGTTCGAAGAAATGCATACATACAGACATACACGGACTACACAGATTACCTAAAATGTCGTATTTTGCAGCATTTTCTCGCGAAATTGGACGCTCGAAAAAGTGATGATTCAAACAGGGGTGCAATTCAATCTCTGCCGGGCCAGTAAAGTGTCGTATTTTACAGCATGTTCTCGCGAAATATACCCCGCATGTCCCACCAACATCCCTAGCATCACCAACAAATCGTGTGACGGGGTCAAAGAAATGATGATTCAAGTAGGAGGCCATGTCAATCCCTGTAAAAAATATATAAAAAGTAGCGGGGGGGTTGGGGGGGGGCGGCAGCCCCCCCCACGATGTTGTTTGCAGAAGTGATGATTTGAATAGGGGTGCAATTAAATCTCTGCAAAAAGTCTAAAAAGTAGCGGGGGGGTTGGGAGGGGCGGCAGCCCCCCCCCATGATGTTCGAAGAATTGATGATTCAACTAGGGGTGCATCTCTGTAGAAAATCTAAACGTAGCGGGGGGGTTGGGGGGGGCGGCAGCCCCCCCCATGATGTCGGAAGAAGTGGTGATTCAAGCAGGGGTGCAATGATTCAAGAAAGGGTGTGATAGAATTTACAAGGCAGCGGGAGGGTTGGCGGGGGTGGCTTCCCCTATGATGTTCGAAGAAATGCATACATACAAACATACACGGACTACACAGATTACCTAAAAAGTCGTATTTTGCAGCATTTTCTCGCGAAATTGGACGCTCGAAAAAGTGATGATTCAAACAGGGGTGCAATTCAATCTCTGCCGGGCCAGTAAAGTGTCGTATTTTACAGCATGTTCTCGCGAAATATACCCCGCATGTCCCACCAACATCCCTAGCATCACCAACAAATCGTGTGACGGGGTCAAAGAAATGATGATTCAAGTAGGAGGCCATGTCAATCCCTGTAAAAAATATATAAAAAGTAGCGGGGGGGTTGGGGGGGGGCGGCAGCCCCCCCCACGATGTTGCTTGCAGAAGCGATGATTTGAATAGGGGTGCAATTAAATCTCTGCAAAAAGTCTAAAAAGTAGCGGGGGGGTTAAGGCCGCCCCCCCATGATGGTCGAAGAATTGATGATTCAACTAGGGGTGCAACCCCCCCATGATGTTCGAAGAATTGATGATTCAAGTAGGGGTGCAACTAATTAAATCTCTGCAGAAAATCTAAAACGTAGCGGGGGGGTTGGGGGGGGCGGCAGCCCCCCCCATGATGTCGGAAAAAAGCCACCTGCCGAAGAGGAACTGGGAATGCAGAGGATGCGAAAAGCCAAAAAGCCACCAAAAGCCGCATAAACCAGCAAAAAGCCGAAAAGCCTAGAAGCCCAGAAGCCGAGAAGCCAAGCCGAAGCCGAAAAGCCAAGAAGCCAAGAAGCCAAGAAGCCAAGAAGCCAAGAAGCCAAGAAGCCAAGAAGCCAAAAAGCCAAGAAGCCCAGAAGCCGAGAAGCCGAGAAGCCAAGAAGCCAAGAAGCCGAGAAGCCAAGAAGCCAAGAAGCCGAGAAGCCAAGAAGCCAAGAAGCCGAGAAGCCAAGAAGCCAAGAAGCCAAGAAGCCAAGAAGCCAAGAAGCCAAGAAGCCAAGAAGCCAAAAGCGAAGAAGCCAAAAGCGAAAAAAAATCCAAAAAAAAAAACGAAAAAAAAATCCTAAAATAAATACCCCTCCATTTTGTATAGTGATTGGGTGAGTATGGCCCCCTTTACTACAGTGCATGATGAGTCATGAGGGATATTGACCGTTGCTCAAATCCGTTTATGTAGTCAAACGAAATAAGACAACCCAAGTAAAGCCATCACAGAGAAGGCCTCAAGGTCTCACGGGGAAAGGCTATGACAGGGGCCCCTGAGTTTTCAACTTGGTTGGACCTCCCAACGTGGCAGTAAATCAATGCAAGCCGCCACTGCACTAGTCAACTTTTGCTTGGAAGCCCCCAGCGCTATTGAGGGGTCTTGCCAAAAGACACCACATGGGTGAGCCTACCCGCATCGCTGGCCATTGGATCTCTGCTCCTTGCTCGCAGACTTCTTCAGCTTGGCCGACACCGCCGCGAACTCTTTGGCAGCAATGGCCTTAGCCCGGAGGAAACACAAGGCCCCACCCTCTGGAAAAGTCCGGAGGGAACATTCTTAGGTGATCTTAGAAAGGTTCTTAGACGGGGTTTCTAGATGGGTTCGGAGATCTCTTCTGCGATGGGAGGGCCACAACGTCTCCAAATCTTCCCCCGCTAAGCAGGTTTTCACGTGGCTTCCTCAACTCGTAAACCTCCCCCCCCCCCCCCCGGCCGCGTCAAGAGATGCCCTTCACAGTTGCAGGTTCAGTCTCTTGGACCCGCAAGAAGTGAAGGACCCGCAAGAAGTGAACAACCGTTGCTGGCTGGTGGACAATCACTTCCCACATGAAAGGTTAAAGGTCAAACCTAAGGCGATCGGTTGCTCATGTGGGGAATGTCTTCTTGTGTTCTATGAGCCGGATTAAGCTATATAAGCTGGATTAAGGACGAAAAACATCAATGTCAACCACCTGTTGCCTACATGTCCAGGCCATGCCAGCAAGCGCGCTTGATGAGCGGATGAAGGCGAATAGTGCACGAAGTACACTGCACTTGAAAACTGCAGCTTTTTCAGCTGCTGTAAACAGAAAACGTGTGGACACCAGGAAAGGTGTGCAATCGGCCATTTCGGTGACAATTGCTATCTTCTGGCAGCACCTATTTATGGTGTGGGCCTGTCCCGCACTACACTTTAACCCAGGTTTTGATTGTGGTTTCCTAAGTGAGAGGTCGACATTGATCCTTGCAATAGGGAATGCCCGGCGCATGCCACACAGGATTTATTCACCGAAATCCGTTCGGATGCCATGGGTGATCAAACCTCTGCTATACTTCAACCCGGGGATGGTTGATCCTTGAACTGATTCGTGCCCACTGACAAACTCAGCTTCCCCAATGTGCCAGAAGGTGAGCATATCTGAGCAGCCCCACTTTGATGACTCCCCTGGGCCCGGCTTTCGCCTTCGCCTTGCCTTTCGCCTTGGCCTTGGCCTTGGCCTGCACGTGTCAAGAAACTTGCACTTACTGTCTTTAACGTGGAACCCAGAAAACCGACGGGAAACTCCTTTTTTGGGCTTCCTTTGGGGTTTCATGTTGACATGGAACCCACAACACCCTAGTTTGTAGAGAGGAAACTCCTTTTGGGGGACCCTCCTTTTCGGTTCCATGTTCATTTGGAGGGGAGTATACCGGCAAAGGAGACAACAGAAGGGAGACTCAAAACGGTGAATTCTCAAGTTCAGCGCTTGGGGCTCACATCACATGTTTCAGTAACATCTGGACTACTGCCCCAAACCGGGATTTGGTAGCCAAGACTTGGTTCTTCGCAAATGGCTCGGTTCCGCCTTTGCCCAAGCTACTTGCGTCGGGCCACTTATGATAGTATCAGACAAGCGCTAAATTGATAGTCCGCGCTAATCTTTCCCTCTCCTGAACCTTGTCCGCGGACATCCAAACATTCGCAATTGAGGCAGTATTTTTGGGGGTTCCCAAGGTTGCTGTTCTGTCGCCAGCTTAGACTTAGATTATCTGGGAGTTAGCTACTCCTAGTTCTAGGTTGGCACCTGGCGAACTTGGGGTTAAATCGGGGTTGCTCCCCACCTGGCTGTCTTTCCACCACAGCGGCTACCTCGTCTTCTAGGATTGGTGCGGTCCCAGCCTGGGTTTGTCTCCCAATGGTACATGGAACCCATGAAATCGGCTTCGAAATCCTTTTGGTTTCCCCGTTTAAACCAACCCAAAAAATGGCACCCTGACAAAAGACAAACTTGAAGTTGGAGGTCTCTAAACCGATTTTCAAGAACAGCGCCCCAGTTGGAAAGTCGGTTCACGATTCACCCTGAGGCCTTATGAGTTCTTCGGAGAGGTCGGCCTGAAATCAGTGCCAAAGCAAGGGATCCTTGTTTAGCCCGTTGTGCAAGAAAGCCACTGTGAAACCACCGCGAAAGTAGCCAAGGGTCCCCCTATTCAAGTGCTGCTAAACCTGGAATTAGCCTCATGCAGAATCCAGGGATTGACCCCCAGCTCCTGCGATAAAACCAGATCTCCGGCAAGGTTTCAAGTCCGTACAAAATACACAACTCTCACCGGAGGAAAGACTCCGCCGCAAAGCACCACCGTCCGAATCAGCCCTGGCCCGCCTTAGGCTTTGCCTGCACATTGAGAGGAGCTTCGTATCCGATTGTGGATCAGTCAAACTAAGATTCTCAGACTGCTTCAGAGTGTTATGCCCTTCCCCGTGGTTCCCAACACCAGTGTACTAGGCAACTAGCCAGCGACCTTTTACAGGGTGGCTCCCTTGGCTTGGCAAAAGCAAACTTGTTGTTGCAGCGTCTCATTTCTCTCAGTTGTTATTTGAGCAAGGATCAGTCTTGCACGCTTGCTGCGGCAGCCCTTGGCCAGGCTTCGCTCGAGTGTGTTTCTCCTCAGGTGCTGTTCATGTGCAACAACGCGTTTGATTCCCTGGTGCGCATCAAAATAAGGAACTCGAAATTGGGTGATTTCCTATAGTGTAAGCAAGCTAACCAAACGGCACCACACAAGCATGCGATAA